AACAGAACCAATGATTTCAGGCAGGCGGTGCTCGCAAATGCACGAGATTTCACACCACGTTGGTAATGATACTTCGCGGAGCGAGCTATTTGTAGTGTACCATTTGACTTCTGTGCAATTTGCCCTCGGCGTGGTCTCGTCGTTTATTTTCCCCCACTGTGATTAAACGAACCTTCCCATTTTTCCTGCGTGCCGCGCCGGGCGGCGTTTCTCTCCTCTTTCTCTCTTTCTCTCTCTCTCTCTCTCTCCCTTTTTTCCCTCTTTTTTTCTTAGATCTAAGTAGTTCGAGCAGCAGTTTTTGCTATTTTTATCCGCAGCTGGCAGAGTAATTAGGATTGATCGGCCCCGGATCGCGCGGTCATTTCGCGGTCGTTTCGTCGTCGTGACGATGGCGTTTCTTTGTTTCCGCGTGATTCGACACGGCGAGCGGCCGTCGGTTATTTCCACGAATCGGGCAGCAAATTCTCAATCTTCGGCGCGAAGGGTGCTAGTTTCCTCCGACGGGAAACCGCTGATTTGTGGCCGCTGCAAATCGACGTTACCATAATACTCGAAGCCATAAAGCGCCACGGAACGGAGAGAGCTACCGGGAGAGCCGGGATAATAGGAACCTCCGGTGGTTTTCGAAAAACGAGCTTCTCGCTGCGTGTACACCGGCAATTTAATAACGGTACCGAGGCCGTGTTAAAGTGTAACGGTTTATGAAATCTACACCGCGCCGAAATTAAGATTTTTCGAGGGGGGGGGGGGCAACGTGCCACCACGGCCTTAATTTTAGGCCGTGGCGCGTCGTTAACGCTCGACTTGCCAAAACCGTCATTTTCGCTGCAATTAGCAATTTATTCGCGCGTATATTTCGCGCGCGATGGACTGCTACAACGCCCGTATTAAACGTCGGTCGTTGCTTGTTGGTTTTGCGGAGGATATTTCGCTGAGGGAAAAATACCTATCAGAAATCTTTCACGCTTGTCGACGGTTAACAGTAGAACTGACAGGCATAAACTATCTCCGAACGAATGAATTTCTGGGAATAATACGTTACGTGGATAGAAGATCGATATCGAGGACTGTAACAGGATTTATTAATCGTTTATTATTAATTTGTTATTTACAGGCTTACTTGCGTTACGTGCAATTTATTGCGCGGAATCACTGAACTCGCGTTAAAGCGACAGTCGCGGAAATTTTGCGGCACTGGTTTCCCGAGTTCTCGGAAGATCGTACGTTCGTAAAACGTCAACCAGTTTTTACTAATCTCGGTCTTTTTCATTCGTGAGATCGCTCGTTTGAGTTTTTACATGCAGGTTACGGGCGAACGAACGAGGCACATGACTGTACAGAAACGTTTTCCTGTCAAATCAAAACAGAATGTGCAACAATAAAAAAGCTACGTTATACGTACTCGCGTAAAGTTACCGTAAAACGCGTGATATTTTTGTCAGATCGTGATGCTGACATCACCGATAACGTTCAAATGCCACGAAACGTTAGAAACGCGTTACATACCTTACCGCGGAAACGAGCATCATAAATATCTCGATACGAGTGCGCGTAATCGTTTTTGAAGTGTCGATAATATTGACACTCTTATCGTGATATGTAAGGCACGGTTTGATACTTTGTCAGCAGGTTGGTCCATGCCGGGGAATTAACGACGTGGCCGGTGGAAAAATGTGACAGGCAGGCCGTGTTGTGCGTACGCGTGAAACAAGGAGAATACGAAACCGTAAGCACAACGATAACCAGAAATACTTATTGCGCGGACCGTTCCATGCCTTCTTGAATCCGATAGAATCGTCTAGCCGTGCGCGCATGCTCGCCAGAGTGGAGAGTTCAATAATCTGCCGCGGCAGATCTTCCTTGTCCGGCATTGAAGTCTCCAACGGCGCTGCAGCATCTGCTGCCGCGATCGTGCCTCTGTCGTCGTTATTTCGCCAACGACATCGTGATCGTTTAAAATTCTCCTTCAAATCAATTATCTCGACCAAACTCGTCCGGGCAACTGATTGCACGATCGTTCGGATTTACTGTTATTCTAATTAAAAAAGAGGGGAAAAAAGAAAGAAAAAAGAAAAAAAAGAGTCGAAAGTTTTGTCGTCGTTTTACGATATTTTCTCGCGGATGTTACGTCATTTTAAAGCGGTAGGTGCAGCCGAGTGGTGGAGGTGCATCACCGTTTTTAATACCGTGCAAAGAGAGATTCTCGTCGAAAATACAACGAGGCAGTAAACGTCAGACTTGGCATACTTTAGCTCGCCGGTAGAGAATAAACTCCCATCGTAACCTCGTGGACACAGATTTATGATAATCAAGTAGCCACTGGTTTTCATACTTTGCTGACAGCCTTCTGCTCGTTTCTCTTTCTTTCTTCCTTTTTCGCCGAGATCCCTAAAGGGAATTTTGATTTTCCAATAAGCGATCGAGATTTACAGCCTCTCTCCCTCCCTCTCGAAAGGGGCACACACTATTCTCTCCAGCAGTATTTCCCCCTTCATTCTCCTCTCCTTTTACCTTGCCTCTTCTGTTCCCTTTTCGCTCGTTCTATATACCCACGTGTTACTTCCTTTTCGATTTTTTTTCCGCGCGCGACGTGTTTTTTACTGCCCTTCGTACGTCCCGCGAAGAAGACAGTCTGACAACGTCCTTCTCCTTCGCGAAATGGATTCTCACACGTATAGGTACGCACACGCACGCGAGGCCACTTCGTCCCTCGGCCGTAAGTAATGCATGCGCGAACCGATCGTCAAAGTCAGCCGGACGTCTGAGGCCTTATACCGAAGAGGAGAATAGGCTGCCCGGATTTCGTTGTACGATACACACAAACGCATACGCTTTTACGCCGGAGGAACCTGAATACGCGCACCATTCTCTCGAGCACCGCCGTGCAGGATAAAAAGTGCGACATTTCCCAAATATTCACATGCTTCACAAGGTGTTCCTTAAAAAAAAAAATCTCCTCCAACGTTCCCGTGGTTCAACTTGTACATGCGAGATACTCATTTTACTGGTTTCTCGATCGAGATTTATCTGGTGAATTTTTGGTCGAACTCGATCTCGGGAGCACGCGTCCTTGAGAGTACGACGGCGGGCAAAAGTTTCAATTTACGAGCGTTCTTTCTTCACGGATCGAGTTAGCTGGCGGGATGCGTGCCGACGACGACGGCGAGATCGAGAAAACGATCGGTAAGAAGCTCCGGACGATGGAGAAAATTACGAGGCTGGCAAGTTTTTCACGCTCGTCGAAAGGGAGGCGAAGCGATCGAAGAAGAGCAAAGAAGGAACGAAAAAAAAAGAGAAAATAAAGAAATGTTATCGCATCGATTATAACGTTGACGTGAATCACCAGCCTGTTCTCTCGTCCAGCGCGTATCGTGCGTGGATTTACGCGCTCGCCGGCAAGGATACTAAAAAGTAGTGCGAACTACGCAAATTGCCGAGCAAACCCGCAAAAGAAATTGCTCGACTAACAAGCTGCTTATAAGGACACCGCTTCCTCGAGTAACAAGAGGGGAAGGGCAAAAAAAACCCGCGAGTCTTACGAGCTCGATTCGTCGACAGTCTGTAGTACTGTTACGGTGGCCCGCAGGATGATTTTTCACGCGAAATCTAGCCGAGTTGCACGGGAATTTTTTGGAACGTTCTCACACATGACGGGAGCCTGATTCCTTTTTTTTTTTTGTCTTTTTTTTTCTTCTCGCACGTGATTTGAGATACTCTCGGAACCAGGCAGAAAAATACCGTGACAAATTAGATTAAGCACGTAATGTGGATTTAATTGGCAGTGTGGTGAATCGGGTTTGCCGCTTCGGTTTGACGAGCGCCACGCTGATTCCGCTCGTCAGGAAGCGAGCAACGGAGAACGCGCTTATAGATTTTTTTCCCAGATAAAGTAACGAGCCTCGTTATCCGGCCAGATTTACACGTTTCGCGTGAAACGGTGGTTATGAACGATGCGAAACGCGTCACGTGCATTTCCAATGAATTATATACGCTTTGAATTACCTCACGTCTTTTTTTTTTTTCGTTCTCCTCTTTGTGCACGGTTATGTTCTAGTTAACACTTTATGACCGATTGTTTCTCGCGCGTATTGAATAATCGCGCGTGATTCTTCCCGTAGAGAAACGTCCACGTGGGAATATCATCGGAGTTACGAGAATCGCGATATTTGGTGAAAATATTCGATAATTCATATAACTGAACAAAACACAAACAGAGTATTTAAAGTTAAGTTGCGAGCACGCAAGTTAATCCATTGTCCTATAATATACAGTCACACTCGCGACGCAAATTATGGTCCAAACACGACAGTAATATATCTCGACATTTTTCACCTGTCACGCTGTTCGAGCGGCCATTGCAACCGTTAAAAGAAACCGCGTGGACATGAACTCGCGAAGAATAGTCTCGCTGTTGTTTAAAACGAGATAAGGAAATTGATACTGAGGTGACGAATTTTAGCAAGCAGTTAACCAAAGTTCCAAGCATTTGTCGTAGAACGAGAGGAATTGATCGGTCACGCCGGGAGCAATTTCCCCCGTGGTTCTGGCTGCTGGAAATCGTCGTTTCTTCGCTTTTATCGCCGACGATTTGGACCGAGTCGACGTCGACGTCGATCGTCGAAACGATCCCCGCGGCTCGGTCCATTTCGCGAGCGCATTAAAGCGTGGCGCGGCGTCGCGATTCGCCCCTGTAATTTTGGCAGACACGATACCGCGGCCTCCTCGCGATAAAAGCTTCGCCGGAAGCGGAGGGTCGTTACTCAAAAGCCACGAGACGCCGCGAGAAATCGATTCGCCGGCCGGGCGGACGCTTCGAAACGCGTTTGGCACGCGTGCCAGATGCGTTTTCCACGTATTTGCACGAGTCTCAGGACGATCACAGGCAGAAGCGAGCGTGAAAGGACAAAACGAATCTTCCGTTTCTCTCAAGGTCTCGGCGAGAGTCACGTGACGGAGGAAAAATCGACTTTCCACGAGAAGGGAATATCGGAGCCACTTACATGGAGTTGGTGGTGTTCCAGTACATGCTGATCGTCTTCGCGCAGTTGCTCACAGTGGAGAGTAGGATCGTTTGCAGGCAGACGAAGAACACCAAAGTCACAAAGGACGTGGAAACCATCGTAACAACGTGGACGAACGAGCAGCGCGCACCGCGCGTCACCACTGCTCACCAATAATACAACAATCAACAAACAACCACGGCAACAACAAGAATAATAACAAACAGGGACGACGACACCAGCACCTTTGTCGCTGTCGTCCACAACCACCTTCCACCACCGTTGCACAGACACCACATTCACACTTCACTATCCTCGTTCGTATCGGTTCTCGTTCTCCTCTTTTCACCTCCCCCACCCTTTTCAATCTGTTTCCTTCCTCTCCTTTCTCTCGCACGTCAAACAACGGACGAACGTCGCGGGTCTCGCGTATCCTCGTTCGCGTTATCCTCGATACATTCTCGAGAATTTTGCACACGCACTTCTACGCGCACTCCCTTTCGTTCGCTCCTTGCTCGCTTCGACCGGAGCGCGATCGAGAGAAACGTCGAGAAAATCACTTGGCTTCTTCACGAGCGGCGGAATTCTTTGGCGAAATGCTCGGCGATCGACGTTTGCTCGTTAGAATCGACGATATTTCTCCGGCGTTCTGCTTCCAACGGCGTCCACCGAGGTTCGCGTCCCATGGGTCCACCCCGTGTTTCTCTCACCTGGAGCGCACCTTGCTGGCCCTCTCATTGGTCTAATTTTACCGGGGTCCGATCGAAACGACGACGAACCGTCGATAGAGCAGCCCTTCGGATCGTCACGTCGGACAGGCGACGCATCGAAGAGACAATTTGAAGAAAAATCCTAGCAGATCGTCAGTCGTTCAGGGAGGCTGTCGTTGTTCGCAGACGGTGGAAGGTATCCGACGCTTAGCGACGGGATCACGCGAATCACCGTGGAATCGTGAACCAGCCAAGCATCTCACCCAAGCATATCCCTTCTCCCTCGTGTAGACGAAACAGAAACCTGCCGATAATAACTATCGGAGGTTTTTCACTGCGAATGGAAACTCTCGAAGACACTGAATAATAAAAGCACCAGCCTCCTGCGTGGCGGTTCTGAGTAGCCACCAGGAACGAGGAACAAGAAACTCCGATCGTCAACGATCGGCACTCGGTGAATCTCACGAGAAGTGTGCACGCGAAAGGCAGTATTATTCGCCTGGATCACACCCCCGTGTATTTTCTCACGCACACGACGGACTCGCACGGATCGCGCAGTCAGCGAAACGGAGCGACGCTGTCTCCCACTGTCCACCACGCGAATGTATCATCTACCGAAGATCAAATCCGTACCGAGATACGTCCGAGGGGTATATTTGGGTAAATAAATCCAAGACCGACGATGGAACACTGTGAAAACTGTTTCTCCGTTGACTTCTCGACTCGGTATGACGATAGGCTGACACGCGATGCCCGGTCGGGGACCGACTGGAAGAACGGTTCGGTTTGAGAGGCGCTCTCGCTGCGTCGAGACGAGCCCCGGTGAACGCAGAAAGAGAACGATACCTTCCTACTCGGTGTCGCGGACGCGTCTGTCGGCCGAGCGGACTATCGCGGCCGTTCGTCTCGCGTCGGCAGACTCGAACACCGACCGGGGGTGTCGGGGAGTGCCGAGCACCGGCGGAAACGCACGAAGCCCGAGGACCCTCGTTCCCTCCGTTGGCTTCGCCGACGTGTCTTGCCTTGGCCCGCGACTACGCGGTATTACGCCGCTTGCTCGCGAGACGCGAGTTTCCGAGTGGCTCTCCCTGCGAGCGCGTTCTCGTCGCTTCGCTCCGTTCTCGAAGCTCGCCACCGAAGCTCGAGAGTGCGCCGGATACGACAAGTGTCGTCTCGTGCGCGACGCGAGATCCTCGTTTCTCTCGCGGCAGGCGGAATCGTCGTCGCCGACTTCGGCTCAATTCCGCGTCGTGAGTTTTTCTCTCTCCCTTTTGTCCGTCGCGTCGCGGGAAAGGCGAAAAAAAAAAGAAAAAAAAAAAAAAGAGAAAACAGAAAGAAAGAAACCCGAAGTTTTTGGTTCCCAAGTTCTTCCAGTTGGAAAGGTCTGTTCGGCGATTTATCGGGAATCATCGGATGTTTTGCGTTTTCTGAGGAGAATGTGCAGATTTGTCGACGACGAGGGGTGATCTCGCCATCGAAGGTGTTCGGCGCGGACGGACACGGGCCGCGTACGTGCGGGTATTCGATCGAAACGGCATCGAGGAGAAGAGGCGTGAATTTCGGTCGAATTTCATCACCGCGAAATCACGAGGTGCGGGGAATTGGATTTTTCTCCCTTTTTTTTTTTTTTTTTTTTTAAGCAGTTTTTTTTCCTTGCGGAGAATTACGTTTCGCAAGAACTTTATTCATCGCTTGCCACATTTGACCAGTGAAGGCCTGAGTTTTCGAGGTCGATTGAACACCATTAAATGAATTCGCCTAATTACCATGCCACTGATAAGATACGTAATTTCCTGCTTAAAATCCATGGTTATCGTTCAACGCACTCGTTTAATATCGCCTCGTGCACGGATGCATCGGAACATTTCGGTCGTGTGCAAAAAAACTTTTCCTCTGTTCTTGATCACTGAAACCTTTGTCGCGGTCGTGTAACAGTCCTTTAAATTTTTTTACGCGATAAAGGCTTAAAATTTATCGCGATAAAGGCTCAAGAATTACACGTTACGTCAAGGTACGAAAAGTTCGTCGAATGGATTAATTTTGCGCTTATTTCTAGTAAATGTATTCTGCATCTTATCACATTACACGTCCATTCGTGTTTTTAACTTAACCAGCAATCATTTATAATTCAGGCTGATTGTGTTGATAGTTATCGTTCCAGTGTTCCGGGTGTTCCAAACTCAAAGTTCGCCAAGTGCAATATATTTCCTATTTCTAAGTTCTGAGCGTTCGCGATGCCATGAGTATCCATTTTCACTTACGATACCGCGCCTGGTCGTAAAATTGCCAGTGTTAAATGTCAAGACAGAAAATACCCTTTCTCGCGTTTGTAATCGAATTCACTTATCGTTACATATATATATATATGATTAACTCGTTGAATCGCAATTGTTTGAATCACAGAGGGTCAATCTTTCATCTATCACGTAGGCAAACGATTTTTCAAAAAAATCTCGTTCGAACTCTTCAATTTTTTCCAATGGCTGACGAACAAGAACAAAATCGTTCTTCCAAAGAAAATTCGATACTTTGCTTTCCACCCTTCCTCCTCTCGTGGTCGATTTCGTCGAGGTCTGCCAGCAAGTTAATGGAAACGGGCGGCGAGCACGATGATCGAGTTAGGGAAAGTTCGCGACAGTGTGATCCAGTGTTTTCGTTTAAACAGACACCTGGGGGGGTCTGGGGAGGATTCCTGGAGATTGTCCAGGGACGGTTCGGTGATTGTCGTGGCCGGGCGTCGCGGCGGTTCGCGCCGTGGAAGACAGTTTGACGTTCATTAACAAAAGCAAGCGGCGTGATAAATAGCGCGGCGCGGAATTGCGAAACTCGCGTGGAATTTAATTTCCAGAGCGAGGACGGTGGCGCGCGCGGAGCAACGTTGTTTCCATCGAGTTGCAGCGCACTGATTACACAACCGTCCCTTAAGCCTCATTACCGTCACTGAAAATTTCCATAGTGCTCTGGGCATGAGCGAGCGGGCGAGTGCACGACCGCCGCGTCGTGGAGAGAAGGCGCGTCTCCGGATCACGATTCGCCTCGAGTCCCTCGCGAGCTATGAATTAGCGTCCCTCGTCGTTCTCTTCCCTCCCGCTCATCCAGACTAGCGGCTGCTTTTAAGAGAGCGAGAGTGCTTTCTTGACTTACGATCGCCGTTAGCCCTCTCTCGTTTCCTGTTTCAATTTCGGCACGCGCCCTCCGTGTTCCTCCTCGCGCTCTCTCTCTCTCTCTCTCTCATCGCGCCACCCTGCTCCAACGCGCGCCGCTTCGAGAGCCTTTCGTTTTCATTTCATTTTCCAGAAGATTGTTCGCGGCGTGAGCAACGTCGTGGTTAACAAAGGGGATGTTACGTAGAAAGGTTTTTTTTCTTGCAAGTGTCGATCTCACGTCGAGAGAAAAAAGGCTGTAGATTTTTCAACACCAGGTAATCGACGGTCGTTCGTTCTTTTCTTTTTTTTTTTCTGAAGGTTTCTGGTAGAGCTACGTTCGTATAGTTATTTTTTTTTTTTCTGCAAGTACACAGGTACTTTTCTTCGACTGTCGTGATTCCTTTTCTAAGTGTCATATTCGACACTTGTACAAACATCATTTTCTGAAATGAATAACGAGATGACTAAACAGAGAAAGACGAGGACAGGAATTTAGAATATCTATTTATTACATTTCCTTGTCTAGAGTTTGTCCTTCCTTTTCTTGATATTCAAGTATAGATATTTTCCAAAAAATATAAAAGTTCAAACAGTAAAGCGTAAATGTTGAAAAGAAGGGAACAAGTTGACTGAGTTCACAGCGTTCGTACGTGGAATCGCGTCGAACGTGCCTCGGGTACGTGGCGCCCTCCACGCAAACCAGAGACGTTGTTCAGTGTTCATCCTCTCAAGTATTGCTTTTCCGTCTACAACGATCTTCTCGGGAGCATGGCTCTCGGGTTCTTTGGGATCTCGAAGAACCGGTATCTACCCACGGACAGTCATGTCCGTCATTAGTCCGACTAATGTAACGCCTCAAATTCTATCGGGCCGGGCTGCATTGCATCCTCCTACTAGAAAGTCGATGAATCGTTAATATAGGACGTGGAACACGCCCGATTCTAGAGATTCTTCCATTCTTTTCACCTGGTCTATTTCTCTCTGTCTCTCTCCGAGTCGAATATAGGATTATGTCGAAGCGCGATTTCTTTCGACCGTAATTATTCCTCTTTCTCTCTTTTTTCCGTCTCTGTTTTTACGTCCCAGCGTTGACTGTTAGTCGAACTAGGTATGCTTCGAATTAATCGTGGATAGGGAAGAGTTGACGTGACTCGTTAGTCAGGGAGACTCTCGGGTTTTGTAATGGAATGAAGCGATCAGCAATGATAGAATCGTGAAGAGAGTGGAAACACGGACAAGCAGAGTACAACGAATCGATTATAACCGGCGGCTTGCTTTTTCCCTCGTTATGGGTGATTAAACAATCGTGTGTTTCGTCGCGTCTGTTGGTGTCTGCGGCCGAGTCTCAAGTGGTTCGTTAATGTTCGATGGTGTGTCTCTCTGTTTTATTCCACTGCGTGGCTGCCCGCCACTGCTAATAACGTGCTTACGCGAGAAGAAAGTCGTCGCGAAAACAATACTCGTCGTAGAAAATACCGCGACGAGAAGTCTTCGTAAAAGTATGTCCGATGAAAAGTTACAATAAATCAAAGAATCATTTGCGAAACATCGAGTGTTATTTATTCCGTTATCGATTCCGTTGAAAATTCCTGTCCCTATTCACGACGTTTCCTAACAACCAACCGTGATAGTATGTATTATTGTCGTCTCCTTTCAAGTTTCTACTATCTTTTTCATCATCGTATTCATGATTTCAGGGAAGGAATTTAATGATCAGAAAAATAAATTGTCAGTGCGAATTATAAAATAACGAGGAGGATCAGGTTTGGTTTCCCTTCAGAATTTCTCTTCCCATTTTCCTCGACAATCTTTTCCCGGGAATTACCTTTGGTAGACCAATAGAATGCAATTTCCATCGTTTCCTTTTCTATTTTCCGATCGATCAATTAACATACAAGAGAATCTAAAGAAAGTTAAAGTAAAATCAGAGGATCCTTTCTCTTGAAGTTCCCACTTTTGTCGATACATTTTCTTAGAGAACTTTCCTGTCTCTAAGAGATAGATCAATAGAATTTCTGCTCTCTGATCTCTAAGAGATAGATCAATAATAGAATTTCTGCTCTCCGATCGATATTTATTAACATGCCAAAGGACCTAAAGATCCAGCCAGTTCCGAACGAAAAGTAAGAAAAGAAGAAGATCCGAGGTTGGAATTAACCGACTTAACCGCGGTATTTCTTAAATCGTCGTCAGAGAAAGAGAGAGAATCCCGATCGAGGTCTCGATAGTTGACCCACCATCCGCTTATTACACATCTTCGCTTCCCGGCTACTTTCTTTCTCCTTGTCCTTCCTTTTTTCACCGTCGCGCACGATCGAGGAAGAAAGGACTCGAGAGAGAGCCCGATCAAGGCGATGAAGATATCAAACGGATGCACGCCGGATAAAGAGGTGAAGAGGCACTCCGATCGGTAGGTTGTATAAATACCGGCAGTCATGGAGACGAGAGTGCTTCGTAAATATTGATCGTTATTCTTGCGGTTCTCGCGGGCTCGTGGAAAAGAAACTGCTTGCTGGAAAAGCCAAATCCTATGTACACACATGAGGCGGTCGACGGCCATTTCGAGGGCCCGTTGGCTCAACGTTCAACTGACAATTGTGTGTGCGCGCGTGTGTGTAGACTGGTCGAAACCGCAGGCATTTCGGAAGGCAGGTGTGTCTGCCTAGGTTTAGAAGCAACTTTCCGTCACCGTTTATATATACGGAAAACCTGCGAAACGTTCGGTTTGTGTTTCCATTGAACCCGAGATTCATGCTCGAACAATTTTCCCTCCGTGCTTACGATCGAACGCGTTAGCTTATACGTTTCGACGCTTTCTCCCACTTTCGTTCAGATCAGTTCAGATCAAACTCGTCTCTTTGCAGATCCTTTAGAAGGAGTTATTTATTTATTTTTTTTCTTTTTAGGACATCAGTATATATCACTGACGCGAGATACTTTTGGAAGGAAATTAGACGACTTTTGACGATTTAACTGGTCGTTTAAACGTGATTTCCCCGATGGTTCGAGTCGGGTCGAATTTGTTGGAAACTCGCTGATTCAGCTCGTACCACGCCACGTCATCCAGAAACGGATGACGTCTGATTCTTGGTAAAAGGAAGGGGACGTGTCGTACTAGTGTAAAATAACAGAGATTCGGTGAAAAATTTAATGTCAGATGTCTGAAACTAGAGTTGTCAAAATGTAGCAGTATCGATTTTGGGATTCAAATAATTTCTCGCTTGAAAATATTTTTGTTTCTTTCAATTACGTATGAACATCTCGACATCTCTGACCCACATATTCTATTCTCGCTGTAGCAAATGTAGTCAAATTCTCGTAATAAATTTTAAATATGAAAGCTGTATAAGTATACCTAAACCCAAAACGTAAATGGTCACTCAGAACGACCTAACTCTGAATCGACGCACGATTCGTCGTGAAAAGCCCCGTGGAAAGTTTCGAAACGAGTGCAGCCCCATAATGAATTTTCAAGTGGCCTCGGAAAATGGAGTCTGTGGGACAGTTGAAAATACGGCGCACGCATTAGAACCAGAGCGGCAGGAGGTTACAGGGTCCCTTTGGTTCTCGAGGGGTCTAACTACAGCCCGAATGAATCCGCAGTCATTCGGTAAGGCAGGTGCAACGATCCGGAAATGGTAATTTCGTGGAAATTCCCAGGGCGGAATACGAAATCGAAAAGTTGCTCTTACATTCAGCCGGGGCATCGGTGTCGATAATTCACCGGTGTGGATCGTATAATCACCTAATGGTCCTTGACTTTAATATTTCGAGCCGGTTTGATTATTTCTCCTACCTCTGTAACACCCCTCCACCTTCTCGTATCGGGATCGAAACGCGAATCAAGAAAGTTGCAGCATTATTAATGCATCGGTATCGATGACGTTACCGCTGGAAATAAATCACCCGGAGGTGCGGTCCGATGATAAATTAATCCGCGGCTATTGCTGCGATTTATTACACGGATTTCGACGATCGATCCCGACGATAGCGGTTTCCTAGACGGCTACCAATCGCGCGTCTTGACGCGTGCGTCAGAGATCTTATTGGATCGTGGCCTTGTTCCTTTATATGCGACTTTCGACTATTGCGTTAAGCAGTTACAAAGATGTAATACAAAGATTTTCATTTTTACTCCGGCGAAGAATATACATTCTCTGCTGATTATACATTTTCTCCTGATTATAACGACAAACCATTGCAAGTTTTCGTTTTTCTATTTGTTGCTTCCTTCGATTCACGCGTTTTAATCTGACGATACTGACAGATTGTATTGTATAAATTGTATTACATAAATTTACATTAATTGTTTGATTGGCTAAAATACATCTTTTCGTTCAGAAAATCTCGAAATGTTAGAAGTAGATGATTCCTGGTACGATAGAGATTTTGTTGCTTGGATGCTGAGCATGTACAATTCGATTCGTTCTCCTGGTTCCATGCCGATTACCACGCAACGCCGATTAATATCACTGAAATTATTAAAAATTCGTTTACAGGCTCGATGGTCCTTGGTCCCTAGAATCGTTCGTCGGTCGATCTCGAAATCATCGTATTTTAATAACTTCGAATACCGAGAGCGATCGACTCGAAAAATCCGTATTCTCTGACCGACGTGGCACGATGATCCCTCATTCGCGTCTTGTGAAACGCTTAACGCCCATCGATCATCATTATTCAGCGGCGTTCGCCGAATTCACCAGCTGTGTTCCAACGTGCTTGCACGCCCGTGTACTCGCGTACGTTTCACCGAATCGAATCCATTTCGCTTCATTACTGATCCATCGTGGCCGATCCACGGCGTTGACCCGCGCTGCCTTGAACTACGATCGAACGCGCGCGCTCTCTCTCTCTCTCGCGTCGGATTCGCTGTTTACGATTCGAGACGTTCGTTGAACGTGCAAACGCGTCGCTGTCTTCGTCAAACCGTTTATTTCTGACAGAGGGATACAGAGATCCGATCGAAGACGACCGAGGATGAATTTTACACGCACGAACGATTGTGCTAATTGATCCCGAGCTCGGGACCAGATCGCCACCTGCGCGGCGATTCGAGTCGATCTTTGGGTAAGGTGCGTGCGCGGCGATCGTGAAAGATCTCAGGGATCCATTAGCCATTAGCGAACGTTTACGCGCGTCAAGGTGTCCGCTGGAACAATAGGAGCCACCAGTATAGGAATCGATCTCTGCGGGTTTCTTTTATTCTATCCGGATTCTCGCCTCGGCCGGATGAGGGACCGTTGCTTTATCTTTTTCGCATAATGCATTAACTCCACGGCCCTCGCGGGTGTACGTATTTAATTTGTAAAACGATAGGTTGTCCTTGGCGGTGAGACTCGGGAACACTGGCGTCGGATCCTGATTTCGGCGAATTTGGCCGAAGATCGAATCTCATCATTGCTACTTAAGACTTGTTTCTAAATTTCTTTCTGTACGAGATTCTGCATTTGTTTCTAATTGCATACCGTGGAAGCCGGATCGACAGACTAGCGATGAACCGAATCGTTTGTCAATTTGCGCCGTTGTAACCTATTCACGTTCACCTTCGCAAAGCCTTCTTCCCAACAGGCCACATTTTCAACCAGATTAGCCGTATCATTTCAAAGTTACACGTCCGGAGGATTACACGTCCGGAATCTCATTCGCAGCGAACGATGTTAATCGGTGTTAACGGACAAAGGATATATCCCGGGAGGATCTATCGTCGAGATAGTTCGGCTACGCCACTGAGAGAGCGTATCCTGGAATTCGACACACGGCCGATCTCCAGGCGCCGAGACAATGGTCCCTCCCTCATCCCTCATTGTTTCGACCACGTCTGGAATCTTAAAAGACTATCCATTATTACACTCCCATCGAGAGAGAAAGGAGAGAGAGAGAAGAGCGAACCATCTTTTGGCGCGTAATAATCGAATGGACCGCGAGACACCTGCTGATGAAATCGATACGAGCACGTCCGTGGAAAATCACGTCGCTCACCTCGGATGTCCGCTCTCCTCGAACTCTCGTTTCCATGTGGTGTCGAGTGGCGCGCGTACCTGGTAGCGAGCGGAGCACTCTCGCTCGCAGTAGCTACGCGCGCGTTTTCACTCGTATCATTACGCATTTCAATGGTTCGACAAATTATGCCGGTGTGAAGCGCGTGCGCGTTCGATTCGAGTTCGCGGCAAGAAACGGAGAGAAAGGGAGAAAGAGAGGAAGGTTGTGGAAAGTGGTGGCTCGCTTCAATGGGACATTTCTTTTCAGAAGTCGCCGCGACGATACACGGGTTCGAAGGACGATGCTGTGGATTCCACGGGAATTGAACGGGCATAATGCGGCGAACATACGTGTGCGGGCTGCATAATCCTTGGTAAAACGCGCCGACCGGCATAATGCCTCTTACCCGCTGTAGGTGTACCATATTATCGCGAGGGAGGAAGGTGGCTGCACTTTATCTAGCCTCTCGCACTAGCCTCTATTTGTATCTACGTTTATGCACGTCGGATGTGTGAGTATGTATAGAGTGAGAGAGGTAAAGAGAGAGAGAGAGAGAGAGAAAGTACGATGTGGGAGAGAAAAGCAGGAGATTGAAAGGGAAAGAAAGAAAACAGGAGGTACGTATAGGTGTACGTGAGTTAGTCTCGCTGGTCGAGAGAAAGAGAGACAGAAAGGAACACAATGGCAAATGGTATTCTATTATTCCAGATGGGCATCGCGCATATCTCTCTGTCTCTCTGTCTCTGTCTCTTTCTCTCTCTTCGAGGAATGCTGCTACGAAATCATTCTCCGATATCTCACCGTGACCCCCCCCCCCCCCTTATTCCATCCCTTTCTGCTTTCGTACCCAGTGTCGCGTAACCACTGTTATCGGCAAGTAAACCCTAAACTAATGTCAACCCCCTTAGAATTCACACTCGTGTAGTTGCGATCGTTCGTCATCCGGCTTTGCGCATTAATCGCCCGCTTGATCGCGCGCACGCGTGTCCTTCGCGATCGATTCAGCGTTCAGATCGAAAGAAATAATCACCGCGAACCTGTCCGCCGGTCGCAGAAGAACTCTGGAGAATTCACGGAGCGTCAAAGGAGATACGAGATAAAAGATGAAAGAGAAATCCACGGCCAGTGAAATCGATTTCGATGGTAACGCGTGGCTGTTGTTTTATTTACGAGCGGTGGCCAGGTATTTCAGAGTCAACGCGATCGTTCTTTTGATACGTCCGTTTCGTCGTTGCGCGAAGAATCACGGTTTTCAATCCCTATTTTCAATCCCTATTTCGATCCCTTGTGCTCGACACTTGCGGCTCGCGAGATGGATATATTTAAAATCCGCGCGCGGTTCGTTTCCTCCGTTGGCTTTTCTGTTCGTTCTGCGAGAGAGAACTCCAACGCCAGCGAGTCGAGCCGTCCCTGCGGTTAGGAGGGAATAAGAAATTGCGGGCAATGATTCGGAACAGGTCCCCATCCCTTGGCTGCACGGTGCCGTTTTTTCGTGTCTCGTCGTTTGTTTGGACCCGTTACTTCTCGCGCTCCGGCACACACAGGAAATATGCGGTCCATGGAATGAACGGCTGTCAGGGAGGCGGATCCCGTGCTCGTTTGTAACGCAACATTTATGCTTTCGATCCTGTGAACTTCGGCAGATACGCGAGCAACCATCGTTTTTTTTCGGGCTGCTCTGACGGGATTATCGACTTTCAGGGCTACTTTAAATATCCCTTTTCGCTTGTTAACACATTTTTCATCGCCGGCCCCCGACTCTCGCTGGAAATAAAACGTCCGTCGCTCTGGCAAAAAATACTTCTTTAACCGACTGTTTATTTCATTCGAACTCGAAAGCGAGCAAAGGTGTATAACATTCTACTTTTAAATTTCGTCTGAAAATTTGATAAACACACTCTCACGATTCTATTATTTAATTACTAAGACTGAGCTCGGAGTGACTGATACTTTTTCGATGGCAAACAGGAAGTATTTAAAAATTACTTCAGATTGTTGAATAGCTGGCACGACGTTGGAGGATACTTTTAGAAATTTCCAAAGATAGCTTTGCGCGCTACACGCTGACTTTCACAGTCAGACGGCGTTACGAATGTTTGGCGTTCAAGGATTAACTGTAAGACGTCGGTAGTAATACGGTAGCTCGTGACTTCCAACAGAATGGATTTCGAATCGATCCAAGCTTCCAATTTCCCAATTTCTTTTTTAGAACAAGGATCATCTCCTTTCTTTTCTATTTTAAACGTCTAAAAATACTTTCGCCCCGTCGGAACCGAGATAAGACAAGCAACTGTGACGTGACAAAATTATTTTCAAAACTATCGTCTGATTTCGTTACGAGCAATTGCGTGAACAACAACC